AAAAAAAAAAAAAAATCAAGTCAAGCAGCCCTTTTTGACATTTACCACTTTGCAGTATCACTGGAAACTAACTCATCTAAACAACTCCTCAAGGCTTTGCCTAACAAGCACCACGGGGCCTCAGCAGGTCAAGCCCTAGAGGGCAGAGAGCAGCTCCTCCTAGACCTCCTGCTTATTCTCCTGGGCCAAGGTCACCTCTCTATGGTACAACTTAATCTTGTTTACCAGGAAAAGCCCCAATAACAAAGTGTGATTATGTTCAGGAAAAATAGTCAAATGCTCTACCAAAAGCTAACTCCAGGAACTGATGCTACTGAGAAAAGGACACTTTACACCTGAGTTTCAGGTTTGCATTCTAAGGAATCTATAGCCTCAACTGTCCCAGGAGATCCAGCTGCTTTGAGATTACAAGACAATGGGAGAGCCTCAACAGAACTTGCCAAGTGTCTGCATGAAACTATGACAACACAAGGCCGGGCGCAGTGGCTCACGCCTGTAATCCCAGCACTTTGGGAGGCCGAGGTGGGTGGATCATGGGTAAAGAGATGGAGACCATCCTGGTCAACATGGTGAAACCCCATGTCTACTAAAAATACAAAAAATTAGCTGGGCATGGTAGCGCGTGCCTGTAATCCCAGCTACTCAGGAGGCTGAGGCAGGAGAATTGCCTGAACCCAGGAGGCGGAGGTTGCGGTGAGCCGAGATCGCGCCATTGCACTCCAGCCTGTGTAACAAGAGCGAAACTTCTTCTCAAAAAAAGAAAAAAATACAAAAAATGTAGATTTGCTGAGCATTAGCTAAAGTCTTCGCCTCACTCTTTCCCACCCCCACTTTTCAAGGAAAATATATAAATACTAAAACCTCCTGAGAACCACTTGGGAAGAAACAGTCACAGAAGTGTCTCTGACATAGTTTAGTCAGTTTAGTCATTTATTTCAATTAACGCTGTCTCTTCATCCCTTCCACTGCAGCTAAAGGAAATCCTTCTGAAATCTGATCATGTCACTCTTATTTGTGGTTTAAAAGCTGGGGCTAAATTAAGAAATAATAAAGTAAAATGTTAAAGGAAAATTTTTAAAAAATTGAAAGGCCGGGCGCGGTGGCTCATGCCTTTCTAATTCCAGCACTTTGGGAGGCCGAGGCAAGCGGATTACTGAGATCAGGAGTTCAAGACCAGCCTGGCCAACATGGTGAAACCCCATCTCTACAAACCAAACATTAGCTGGGCATGATGGCGGGTGCCTGTAATCTCAGCTAATCAGGAGGCTGAAGCAGGAGAATCACTTAACCCGGGAGGCAGAGGTTGCAGTGAGCCAAGATCACACCACTGCACTCCAGCCTGGGCAACAGAGTGAGACTCTGTCTCAAATAAATAAATAAATAAAAGCTGGGGCTCTGTAGTCAATTTACTGAGTTAAAACTCCTCACTGGCCAGGAGTTTTTTGGCACATATAATCCCAACACTTTGGGAGGCTGAGGTGGGGGTGAGGATCACCTGAGGTCAGGAGTTCGAGACCAGCCTGGCCAACATGGTGAAACCCCGTCTCTACTAAAAATACACACCAAAAAAATAGCTGGGCATGGTGTCAGGTGCCTGTAATCCCAGCTACTCCGGACGCTGAGGCAGGAGAATCGCTTGAATCCAGGAGGCGGAGGTTGCAGTGAGCTGTGATTGCACTAATGCACTCCACCCTGGGCGGCAGAGTGACCCTGTCTCAAAAAAAAAAAAAACTCCTCGGTGTCATTTTAGGTATGACTTGGGCAATTCTTAAACCCATCAAACCTTACTTTTCTCACCTGTAAAATGGGAATAATATTAATACTTCATTGTGATATCTATGTAGTTCAGTACAGTTCTTAGTTCTTTCTTTTTTTTTTTTTTTTTTTTTTTTTTTTGAGTAGGGATAAGGGGCTTTGCACACCGCATGTTTTCTCTATTTTTGGTTACTTTGATATTTCCTCTCATCTTTTTTTTTTTTTTNAGCGAAACTCCGTCTCAAAAAAAAAAAAAAAAGAAACTATGACAACAGAAAGAAGAGTTGTTCCATCTATAACATCAACTTTCCTCTGGGGTCAAAACAGTCTAGGCAAAGTGCCTAGCCCTCGGCCTAATATTAACAGCTGTGATATATACGTGACCCAAACAAGCTTTATAAGCAGTGTCACAGCTCCAAAGATTTGAGTGAGCTCTGAGACTTTAAATGTAGAATGTCTCTTATAATGAGATAATGAGAATTTCTCCAATAATAAAACAGAGGAGGGCCAAATGCCCTCGGCTCACGCCTGTAATCCCAGCTCCTGGGCAACATGGTGCCCATCTCTACAAAAAATACAAAAACTAGCCGGGCGTGGTGGCATGCCCCTACAGTCCCAGCTACTCAGGAGGTTAAGGTGGGAGGATCAGCTGAGCCCAGAGAGGAAGAGGCCTCAGTGAGCCATGACTGCAACACTGCACTCCAGCCTGGGTGATGCAATGAAACCCTGTCTCAAAAATGAAAATAAAATAAATAAAATAAAAAAGACAAGGAATACTGAAGAGAAAATTGCACTAGGTATGTCCAAACATAACAGAGCATGTGGTTTCTCCAGAAGTAGTCTGGTCCTAGGATATATACGCTGTAGTCACTTGATTCACTTCAACATGAAGGCAACAACCAAAATACTTATTCCCAGGAGACAAAACATTTTACAGTCAAACACAACATTGACACAAATCTAACATGCCATTCCTAGAATATAAAATAACTCCATCTCAATGAGCCCAGTGTAATTACTTTTACCTTTGTAGTCAGACAGGCTGATATCTTTAAACTGACCGTCTGGCATAACAGCTGTGGCTTTGAAGTTGGGGGCAGGGTGCCCAATTTTAGCATTTCCTGAAGACATCTTCCTATCAGCTAGAAAAGAGAAACGAATTAGAAACAAGCCTTAATTTTCTAGATAACCAGTAGCCTTCACTTACTAAGACTTAGCTTTAGAACAATCAAGGAATTGTCCAGTATGTCCCTGAATACATTAAATGTTGTATTAGTAAGAAGCTCAAGCAGGCCGGGCGCGGTGGCTCACGCCTATAATCCCAGCACTTTAGGAGGCCGAGGCGGGTGGATCACGAGGTCAAGAGATCGATACCATCCTGGTCAACAAGGTGAAACCTTGTCTCTACTAAAAATACAAACATTAGCTGGGCATGATGGTGCCTGCCTGTAGTCCCAGCTACTCGGGAGGCTGAGGCAGGAGAATTGCTTGAACCCAGGAGGCGGAGGTTGCGGTGAGCCGAGATTGCGCCATTGCACTCCAGCCTGGGTAACAAGAGCGA